TTGTACAGTGACTCGGCCTTTCCATCCTCCAAAAAAAACCCCGGAGAGGCACTTTGGGAACTCCTGAGGAGCCGGAGAGCTCCGCTAATAGAGGTCACCGCTCATTACTGAGCCGTGCTCCGCAAATTATCCAACATCAGGATGCGGAGAGCGGTGGTTTCGGATGCTCTGAGAGCTCCTGGCTCCATGTTGGCAGTGCCAGAGCACTTTGGAATGGGCAGGGAAAGGGCAGTGCCTGCGCTGTTCCTTCCCTGGCCAGAGTGTCCAAGGGCAGCTTCTTCCAGCTCTGCCTTTCCCAGGCATCGACCGCCGGCGCTCATGAAAAAAAGATGATCCAAGGCCGGCGCTGAAGGGCTGGGAAAGCAGCGGGTGGGAGGATGGGGCTCAACAGGATTTCAAGGGGGGGGAACCACTCCCAGGCTGTGCTCCAGCATGCCTTTTCCCCTGGCAGCACCTGGAATGCAGAGTGGGATCATGCAGACATCCTGTGTCACCGTTCCCAGCTTCCCCTGGGACAGCATTCCACATGCTGGGAGCACCAATCGCTCCCAAACCCCTTCCCGGCTGGTTCCGGCCTTCCCAGTCAGGATCCAAAGGCACAGCGGGGACTCTGGGAGTCGGGCCCTGCTGAGTCAGGCCAGCGGGGCTGGAGCGACTCCATCGATCGAAACCTGATCCCAAATTGGCTGCGGAGAAGGACCCCGGCACCACCTGGCTTTGAGCTGCCAGGAAGGACAAACCCTCCTGCCTCCGCAGGATTTTGGGAGGCAGGATCCACGCGTCCCTAGCCCAAGCCCACTGCAGAGTCTCCCGGTTCCACATGGGGTTCTCCCGCATCCCGCTGCTGCCGCGGGCTCGGAGCCAGCAGGAAGGATCCTGCGGCGCAGCCTCGGATCCCGTCTCACCTGCCGAGCAGCTGCTCCCGGGGCAAAGTCCACAGCGCGACCTTCAGCCTCCACCTGCCGCCTTTCCCGGCTTTCCTCGGAGCTTTCTGGGCACCCTGGTGATGCCAGAGGGCCCAGAGCTTCCCTCCCTGTTCCAGCAGCCAGGTCAGCCCTGTGGAGCCAGGGATGCCTAACACTGGGAAGGCAGCTGCCTCCAAGACGGCAGAGAGCTCGGTCAGGAGGGTTTATAGCCAAAATTATCCCAAAAATAAAAGAAGCATTGGGAATCTGGTGTTTATATACACCTCAAACTGGACCGTGTGGCACCATGGATAGAGATGAGGTGGCAGGAGGACAGGCAATATGTGACATCCCCCATGGCCACCCACCCTGGCTCGTATCTCTCCATCCCCAGCATTCCACATGAATTATAATCCACGTTCCTGGTTCCAATTCTTTTGTTCTTTTAATACTTTTCTGCCTGGTAGAGAAGCAGGAATAAATTCCTTGGATGGCGAGTGCAGCTCCAGGGCTGGATGGGTGATCTCCCAGCTCTGTGCTGGAACATCCCAAGCCCTCCACCCAGATTCCTGGTGGCTTCAGGCTCTAACTGAAAGACCCTAAACTTCCCAACGTGCCTTTTTTGGAAACCACCACACCTTGGCCCCACCCAGGGACACGCTGGCCTGCCACAGGCTCCAAAGGGCTGGAGCCACGCAGAGCAAACAGGGAGGATGTGCCGAGGGCAAATAGCGCCGGCCACGGTGGGAATGTCCCTTGGAGCCGCTGGCAAATGTGGCGCCGAGCGGCTCTGCCACACGACGGATGCTCCCTCCGTAATTAAAATATCCAGAGGATACTCAGTCGTCACCGGGATAATTATTCCCATTCAGTGCGGGAGGCCTGGCTGGGGTTCTGCTGCATTCCCCGCTCCCCACTGCCCCCTCGGGTGGGCTTCCAGCCTTCCCCGCGGATCCGCTGCGCTGCTCATCCACGGGCCAGCGAGCTTGTCCATCATTTATCCACTCATGGAATAACACACGGGAGGATGAGCATCCCCCCCCGGAGCCAATCTCCGCCGCTCGCCTTCCCGTGCCCCCCGGGGGCCTCTCCCGGGATGCGCACCGGGAGGCGCCCGGGGCAGCTCGGCGGATCCCGCCCGGCCGCCGGACCGGTTCTGCCCCGCGCTGTGTTTGCACAGAGAAGGCAAACACGGCCCTGCTTCCGCAGCGCCGGGAGCGGCGGAGCGGGAATAGGGAGCGATGGGAACAATGGGAGCAGCAGCCGGGTGCCGCTGCCGGCTCATTAACATCTTTATTAGCTGTGACAAGCGCCGGGTCACCGCCCGCTCATGTCCGACTTGAGGGATCGTTCGCTTCCTAACCCCCTGTAATTGCTCCCGTTAGGCTCCGAAAATTTCCTCGTTTTCCATGGAATTACCACCGGCTTGGCCTCGGCCCGGAGATTAATTTGGATAAACAGCTCCAGCGAGGGGTAATAAATACAAAGGGAAAGGTTCTCTCCATTGGGTGGGGAGGGAGAAGAGGAAATATCCATTTTTTCCCCCCCCAAAAAGAGGCAAGATGAGGAAAAAGGAGCGGGATGACTCCTTCTGGAACAATCAAGCAGCAGAATGCGCCTTTTCCAGGGAGTCTTGAGCGGGCACTTGGGAGACACCCTGGAGACACCGGAGTATCTTCCTGCCCAATAGGACCACGATGATTCGGGATTTGGTGTGCCCAGGGATTTAGAATGGCAAGGGCTTCAGGCATCCAGGGCTCTGGGATGGTAGGGACTCAGACACCCAGGGATTTGGGAATGCAGGTGTCCAGTCACCCAAGGCATTGGGCCACCTAGAGTTCAGAATGGCAGCACTTTGGGCACCCAGGGATTGGGGCACCAGGAATTCGGAATGGCAGCGACTCGGGTTACCTAAGAGCTCAAAGCACCGGGGACTCACAGATCCCTGTTTTGGGCCAACTTCCTCCTTCCACGCCGGCCTGAGAGGAAGGAAAAGTCTCCGGGGCAGGTGCCGGGGCGCGGCGGGCGTCGGAGGCTCACGCGTGGCCCTCCCGAGCGCCGGGCCCGTGACTCAGCAGCGCTCCCACCCACCGGCCCCGCTGGAAGTGACGGCGGGAGCGGCTGAGTGGGAGCGGGAGGTTACGGAGCTGCCGGGCTGCCTGTGCGTGCGGGGATGGGGATTTCAGAGCTCGCTGGAGTGTGTGGGAAGCGAGCGGAGAGGAGCGGAGTGAAAGCCAGGGCCGCTGCCAAGGGCTCCATGAGAAGATTCCCACGATAGGGGCAGAAATCGTTCCAAAATCAAAAGAAAGCTCCGCAGCCGCGGGAAGGTGCTCCGCCAGCCCTGGAGCACAGAGGGGCAGAGAGGTGCCCTTTTCCCAGCCCATCCGGAGTGCCAGGAAGGCTGGCAGCAGGCTGGCACTGCTCCCCCTCACTGGAAGAGTTTTGCCAGGGTATACGTGCCGGAGTTTGCCTGACACGCGGCTTCCAGCCGGCTTTCCAAAGTGGGATGGGGCTGGCCCAGCGCTGAGGTGCTGGGAGAAGCCCCTATCCCCAGGGGAGGGCCACCGGGTTGGAGTCCCTTTTGTGAGTCAGGCACACGAGACCAGATCCCTCATCCCTTACCCCTTATTCCCCTGCCGGGGAATCCCACAGCACTGGGGAGCCACCACTGCCGCCAGTTCAGCCCCATCCCTCAATCCAGCCAGTTCGGAGTTTTCATAAGGAGATATTTCCTGCTTCATTCCCTGCGCCAAACCCAGCCTAGGAGCAAGGAAAGTCCCATATTATATCCCCAAATGGCTTCCAAACCATGGCTGTGGTGGTTTCCTGCCTTTTCCTGGCCCAGTACGACTCCAGAGAGATTCCAGCTGATTCCCAGCAGTTTGGGTTGGAAGGGACCTTTAAAGGTCGTCTGGTCCGGGTTCCATTCCACAAGACCAGGTTGGGCTCTGCCTCTGGAGATTCCCACTAGTCTTGGACCAGCCAAGAGTGTCCCAGCCCCATTGTCCAATCCTGGGAGAGTCCCTGACCCCATCACCCCATCCTGGGATGGATCTCTGATCCCCTCACCCCAACAGAAAGCGGGATCCAGCACGGTTCCCAGTTCCAGGAGAAAACCCCCAGTCTCCATCATCTTTCCCCCTACTGTCGCTTCCATCCATGGGCACAGCCTGTATCAGCAGGGTCTCCTCCTTGCCCGCGCCCCTTCTCACCCCGGGGACCACCAGGCCAGCAGCCCTGGAGCCCGACTGGAGGGGCAGGAATTCGCCGGGAATTGCCTTTGCCCGATGGTGCGATAGCGGGAGCGAGCTCCGCGAAATCCACTCCGTGTTTTTCGGCGCCCGCAGCGCCCGCCGCGCCCGCAGTGCCCCGGCAGCGCCCGCCGCGCCCCGGCTCCGCCAAATCCCGGCCTGGATCGCGCCGGAGCGCGGCGCACGGAGCCTGCGGGGGCCCAGAGGGGTCCCGCGCGCCGCCCCACGCGTGTGCGCGGGGACCCGGGTCGGGCTCGGCCTTCCCAGGGATCCGCCACCGTGAAAACACGGCTTGGGGGGCCCTGTGAGCCACCCCTGTGCCGGCCCGCCCGTCCCGGCCCCGTGCCACGCGTGTCCCCCTCCCCACGCGGGTGCGACGCGTGGATCCGCGGGGACCGCGGCCCCGCAGCCGCGTTACCGGGGCCGTCAGTGCGGGCCCGCGGGGGCGTCACCGCGGGCGGTGTCACCACCCCACGCGTGTCCCCCTCTCCCCGTGCGCATCCCCGACCCCCCCCCCCCCCCCC